CCCACAGCTTGGGAAATCCAGCCTGGATTCCACCATTCCCACCTGGACTCACAAATCCCACCCAGCAGGGCGGGAAGGATTTTTTTCCCTCCCACGAAAAACTGCACCAGGGATGTTTTTCCAGGTGGAAAATTTTTTTTTCCAGTTGACTTTCTGGATGGATGGGGAAATGCCTGGATGTGGGAACCTCTGGATTGGTTTGGAAAATACCAGAATTGTGCAGATCAAGGACCAGTGGGCTGAATCCAACCTGGATGTGTTTTTCCTCGTGGATGGGGAGAGCTCTCCCTGCTTTCCCTGGGGATTTCATGGCTGCAGATGGATCTGGAGAATTCCCAGCAGGGTTTGCATCCTGCTGTGCCAAGGCCTTTCCCAATGTTCCAGCTGGAATCTTCCCTCTGCTCCACAGGTCCCAGGCTGGTTTGGGTGGGAAAGACTTTAAAATCCATCAAATTCCAGCCCCTCAGAGGCTGCTCCAAGCCCCATCCTGGGACACTTCCATGGACAGGCCAGGATTTCTTTTTTCATGGAGAAACCCCCTCCCAATCCTTGACTGGTGGGTTAAAGGTATGAAAATCACTTTTAGGAGTTGAAAAGCTGCAGGAAAGACTTTTTAGGGAAAAAAAAAAAAAAAAAGAAAAAGCATCCCAAATAACAGGGTTGGAATTTTGGGGGTCACTCCGTGACCGGGTGGGAGAATCAAACCCGCTCACCTGAGGAAGATTTTGGGTTGAAAAAGACACAGAAAAGTGTCCAAGTGTTGGTCTGGGTGACTGTGAGGAACCTCCACGTTGTGGGACCCCTGAGCATCCCTCAGGAACACCGGGATGGACTCCAGGGATGCAGGAGATCCCAGTGCTCCCCCAGGGCCTGGAGCTCCAGTTGTTGCTATACCTCATCCTTCCCTTTTCCTTGGATCCTCCCCTTTTCCCACTTTTTCCATTCCTTTAGGACCCAGAGCTTGTGCACTCGGCCACATCCAGGGTTGTTTTTTGTTTGGTTTTGGTTTTTTTGTTTTGTTTTTGTTTTTGTTTCCCTGTGGAATGAAAAGCAATCCATGATTGGGGTGGGCAACTCCCAGCCCTGCTCCCTTTGGGATTTGAGCCCAGGGCAAGGGAATCCCGGGGCTGGAGGGATGATCCAGAGGGATCCTGGGGTTGGAGGGATGATCCAGAGGGATCCCTGTGCCCCTTCCCCACCTTCCCTGTCCAGCAGCCCCTCCAGGGCTGCCCTGAGCCCCCCAAAACCTTCCCAGGGGTGGGCGAGGGGCTCGACCCCAAAATCCAGCGCAGCTCCCGCCCCTGGGAGGGGCACAAAGCCCTGTCCAAAGCCCTTGGAGGGACACAAATCCCTGTCCAAAGCCCTTCGAGGGACACAAATCCCTGTCCAAAGCCTTTGGAAAGGCACAAATCCCTTGGAGGGGCACAAATCCCTCTCCAAAGTCATTGGAAGGGCACAAATCCCTTTCCAAAGCCCTTGGAAGGGCACAAATCCTTCTCCAAAGCCCTTGGAAGGGCACAAATCCCTTTCCAAATCCCTTGGAAGGGGCAGAAATCCTTTTCCAAAGCCCTTGGAAGGGCACAAAGCCCTTGGAGGGGCACAAATCCCTCTCCAAAGCATTTGGAAGGGGCACAAATCCCTTTCCAAAGCCCTTTGAAGGGCACAAATCCTTCTCCAAAGCATTTGGAAGGGCACAAATCCCTCTCCAAAGCCCTTGGAGGGGCACAAATCCCTTTCCAAAGCATTTGGAAGGGCACAAATCCCTCTCCAAAGCCCTTTGAAGGGCACAAATCCCTCCCCAAAGCCCTTGGAGGGGCACAAATCCCTCTCCAAAGCCCTTGGATGGGCACAAATCCCTTTCCAAATCCCTCTCCAAAGCCCTTGGAAGGGCACAAATCCCACCCCAGGGAATTTCCCAAAGGAATTCCCGGTCCCAAGGGGGAGCCCCTGAATGTTCAGAGCACTTTGAAGTTGGTGGCCTTGTTTTCTTAAAGGGCTTTGATCTTTTCAGGAAAAGAGAGAATCTTCCCCATCCCATCATCATCCTCCTCCTCTTCCTCCTCCTCCCCAGCTCGGAATTCACCCCTGGAACGTTCAGGATGATCCAGGACTCTGGAATCTGTCATTAATCCCTCAAGTTTACACCCAAAAAAGGGGAAAAGAAAGTTGGGAATTTCTCCTGGAATTCAGGTCGGCAGCAGCACCAGGGAAATCAAAGCAAAGGGGAAAAACCCCGATGGATTTTTGGGAGTGGGCAAAGTGGAGTTTGGGAATGTTTGTCCCATGCAAAAATTCTGGATTTCCATTCCAAATGGAGGGATTTTATCCAGAATAAGGAAACTTTCAACCCAGATTCCCCCTAAAAGGTTTGAGGGGGAAGAAAATGGTGGAATTTCAGGCTGGTTTGGATCCATTGAAAGTAAAATAAAAAGGGAATAAAAGGGTGGGAATTGATGAGGGATTAAAGGCAAGGAGATGCTCCCAGAGCTCTGCCAGAAATTCCAAACCCCTGGAAGCTGAGGCTGAAAGGAGGGACAGGGGTGAAAAGTGCAAAACCCCACAAGGATTTGAAAATTCTTCACATTTTAGCCTCAAATCCCCCAAAATTTGCATGGAAAGGGATCACCAGGAAAGGGGGGAAGCATCAGAGCTTAATTAACCACGAGTTAATTGGCACTGAATGAGGAGGTGGCAGCTGAGGGGGGAAGGAGAGCCAGGGGAGGATTTCCCTTGGATATTCCAGGGTTTCTGGGATGGGAGCAGATTTTAGGATTTCTGGGAGCATCGTTTAACAATTTATGCTGAACTGGGTTTAATGACAGATTCCTCCCATTCCACAACCCCACCCTCCCCAAAAATCCCCGGGCAGGGGGGACCTGGAGCATCCTTGGAGCCCCAGCCCCACATCCAAGAGCAGGGGATGGGTTTGGGATGGCGACAGAAAAGTGGGAATATTTCCAAAAACGAGCAAATGGAATTTTCTACCTGTGTCCTGTCCCGTTTTCTATGTGTGTGTGTGTGTGGTCCTTTCTTAAATGTCAAACTCTTGTATTTTTGTGGTTTCTATCTGCGGGACTGACGGCTCCGAGGGCGCACGTTGTTTTGTAAAATATTCCTGACATTTTCCTCCCCCCCAAAAGAAAAAAACAACACAAAAAAAAGAGGGAGGAAAAGCTGAATTATTCACCTTTTAATTGGCTTTGCATGTACAGTATTGGGGCAGCAAGTGGAGATGATTAAAGCCAGCTTGAAAACTTTTTGCTTGTGCTTGGGTTGAGTTTTTTCTCCCCCGAAAAAATAATAATAAAAAATAAAAATCTCACAACCCCTCATGGATGCTCTGGGAAAGAGGGGAATGGAATAAATATATATATATATTTTTTTTTTTCCTGGAAAAAGCAGGTTTGAATTGAGGAAAGAAATCCCATCATGAATAAAAGACCCCAAAACCTCCCTGGTTCCCAAATCCCCCCCAGCTTCCCAGGAAAAATGGGGAGGGACAGGAAAAATGGGAATGGGCAGGGTTGGGTGGGATTTTGGGATGAAATTCCTCCCTGTGAGGCTGAGGAGGGGATGGGATGGGATTCCCAGGGAAGCTGTGGCTGCTCCACCCCTGGAAGTGTCCAAAGGAAAAATCTGGGATGGGGAAAGGAGCAGGGGGTGAATGGGACCCCAACCATCCTGCAATTCCACAATTCTCTGATTTTCCCTGCCCCTTCACGTTTTTGGACGAGCCCCCACAAGGTTTTGTTAAGCCCGAGTTTAAAACGGTTGGAATGATGGAATTAAAGCTGGAATGAAATAATTTCATCCCAGCAGCTGCAGGAATTCTGCTCCACCTTCCCCCCATCCCAAAGCTGAGGGGTTTGTATATAAAAGTGTCAACTTTGGATTCTTCCAGGCCTGGCTGTGCTCCCTCAGCTCCCTGGCATTTGGGACAGAGCCCAAAACCAGAGGGAATCTGGGCTGATTTTTGGGATGAAATCCCCTCAATTCCCACACCTGGAGTGACCACCAGCACCAGAGGAGTCCACTGCAATATTTTATTTGGGAATTTACATATCCACAGGAGAGAGCAGACCACAAGTCCGACTTCTTGCTGACTTTTGAAGCAGTTTTGGGTTCTACTGGAGATGAGAAAAGAAATCTGCCTAAGATTAAAATGTCCCAAGCGAGCCAGGAAAGGGAGGAACCGGGATTTTACACAGGAACAACGACAACAAGAACGAAACAAAACAGAAAAAAAAAAAAAAAGAAATAATATGAAAAAAAGTATAAATTAGGATGTCAGGATAATTTTTAAAAGTGTAAGAAAACTTGCACAGGGCTCTGGGCCCCGGAGAATTAACTCTGGTTAAGATTGTTAAAAGTGAAATCCCATCAAATCTTAACACCAGCCAGAAAAATTCACTCTGGAGTGCAAGTTTTTCACATTCCATCGGCTTTGCCCCCACTCTGGGCGAGATTCCTGCTTGCTCAGGGTGGGTGGGTGGGTGGGAGAGGGGCTTTTCCCAAGGACTTTGGTTCCAAGGAGGGTGGGAGCAGGGAGAGCTCCCCTCGAGGGAGGAGGTAGCAAGGCTTGCTTGCCCCTGGGCTCGGCTTAGATCCAGTTCCTCAGCACCAAATGAGGTTCCCCACCCCCCCAAAAAAAAACAAAAAACAAAAACAAAAAAAAAAACCCCAAAAAAATAATAAATCTAACACTGCAAGTTGAAGTGAGAAATCCCAGCTTTCTGGGCAGGATTCAGTCCAGATTTCCCAGTCCCACCTGTGCCCAGGTGCCCAGCAGGGCATCAAGTGCTACCCAGGAGCTCTGGTGGAGCTTTGTGCAGGGAGGTTTCCCCTCCCCTGTGTGCATTGACTGTGCTGAGGACGGGGCTGAGCTCGTGGTGGCATTGCCACCCAGCTGTCCCCGTGGCTGTGACAGTGGAAAGGCAGAGATGGAGCTCAGGGATGGAGGAAAAAAAAAAAAAAAAAAAAAAAAAAAAATTCAGGTTGGGCTGGGTCACACCCCCCCCACCACCCACCCAAAACCTGAAAGCAAAAAACCCTGAATGTCTGATGGAGCAGGTCTGGAGAACAGAACAAAGGCAGAAATGGTCACGTGCGAGCGAGGGCTCATTTCCACAGCGGGGAGCTGAGGGAGGGGTTGCTGCCCTGGGCTCCTCCTCCTCCTCCTCCTCCTCCTCCTCCTCCTCCCATGGACTGTCCATAGCCCATCATTCCATTGGCTCCATAGAAGTTCATCCCAGCCATCTGCTGGGTCATCTGCAAACAGGACAGGAGAGAGGTCAGGGATGGGCCTGGACGCTGCCCACAGCGCCCAAAACCAGCAGAGCCTTGAAGGGGAGCAGGGGGGGACTCCCCAGCATGGGGGGACTTGAGGGTCCTCGGGATAGCAGCAGGAATTTCTCCATGGAAAGGGTGGGCAGGCCTTGGAATTTTTCTAAGGAGGTTTGGAGTCTCCAGATGTGGGAGGACGTCAGGACAGGATGGACACCAGCAGGAATTTCTCCATGGAAAGGGTGGGCAGGCCTTGGGATTGCCCAGGGAATTTTGGAGTCCTCAGGTATGGGAGGATTTCAGGGCAGGCTGGATATCAACAGGAATTTGCCCATGGAAGGGTGGGCAGGCCTTGGAATTGCCCAAGGAGGTTTGGAGTCTCCAGATGTGGGAGGACTTCAGGACAGGATGGACACCAGCAGGAATTTCCCCGTGTTTCCAGGCCTTGGAATTGCCCAAGGAGGTTTGGAGTCCCCAGGTACGGGAGGATTTCAGGACAGGATGGACATCAGCAGGAATTTCTCCATGGAAAGATTGAACAGGCCTTGGAATTGCCCAAGGAGGTTTGGAGTCCCCAGGTACGGGAGGATTTCAGGGCAAGAATTTCTCCATGGAAAGGGTGGGCAGGGCTTGGGATTGCCCAGGGAATTTTGGAGTCCTCAGGTATGAGAGGATTTCAGGGCAGGCTGGATATCAACAGGAATTTGCCCATGGAAAGGGTGGTCAGGCCTTGGGATTCTCCCAAGGAGGTTTGGAGTCTCCAGATGTGGGAGGAATTCAGGACAGGATGGACACCAGCAGGAATTTCCCCATGGAAAGATTGAACAGGCCTTGGGATTCATCCAAGGAGGTTTGGAGTCCCCAGGTATGGGAGGATTTCAGGGCAAGAATTTCCCCATGGAAAGGGTAAGCAGGCCTTGGGATTTTCCCAAGGAGGTTTGGAGTCTCCAAATGTGGGAGGAATTCAGGACAGGATGGACACCAGCAGGAATTTCCCCATGGAAAGATTGAACAGGCCTTGGAATTGCCCAGGGAATTTTGGAGTCCCCACCCCTGGAGGTGTCCATGGGAGATGAGGCTGGGATTGGACTCAACCTCTGGGATTCTTTCCCACCCTGACCCATCCTGGGCTCCTCAGGCTCTCCCACTCCCCGCCCTCCACAACCGAGCCCGATCCCACCCCAACCCCAACCCCAACCCCAACCCGCCGCGTATCCCCTCATTCCTCCCCTTCCCAACTCCAGAAAAACCCCGGGAAAACCCCTCCAGGAGCCTCCCCCTCACCTGGGCGAGGTTCCACTGCAGCTGCTGCGTTGGCTGCACCCCGTACACGGCCGGGGGCACCGCGGCCACCCCGGCCACGTACCCGGGCTGCTGCGTCCCCATCATCCCGTTGGGAACGCCCAGCACGTTGCCCACGTAGCCTGCTGGGATGGCCACGGGTGCCACCATGCCAGCAGCCCCGGGCTGGGCCAGCATGCCCACGGACGGGGCCATCAAGCCCCCCATCATGCTGCTGGAAGGGGGCACCCCCGGGAAGGCGGCGTAGGGAGCGGCGGGATAGCCCAGCTGAGCCGGCGCCATGAACATCGCTCCTGGAAAAAGGCAGGGAGGGGAAAAACGGGTCAGTTCAGGGGCTGGGATGTCACAATTCCAGCCACAGCCTGGCTGGGGATGCCCAGGCTGAGCTGTTCTTTGTGCTGCTCACAGCTCTCAGTGAAGGTGGAGAGGGAATTTGGGCAGCGGCGTGCAGGAATAGGTTCCCAGTGCCAGAGGGTTGGGTTGGGTATTGGGAGGGAATTCCTCCCTCATTCCCAGTGCCAGAGGGTTGGGTTGGATATTGGGAGGGAATTCCTCCCTGATTCCTAGTGCAGGGTTGGATGGGAAGGGATTCCTCTCTGATTTCCTGTGCTAAAGGGCAGGGTTGAATATTGGGATGGAATTCCTCCCTCATTCCCAGAGCTAAAGGGCAGATTTGGGTTGGATACTGGGAGGGAATTCCTCCCTGATTCCCAGTGCCAGAGGCAGGGTTGGATATTGGGAAGGGATTCCTCCCTCATTCCCAGTGCCAGAGGGTTGGGTTGGATATTGGGAAGGAATTCCTCCCTCATTCCCAGTGCCAGAGGCAGGGTTGGATATTGGCAGGGAATTCCTCCCTCATTCCCAGTGCCAGAGGCAGGGTTGGATATTGGCAGGGAATTCCTCCCTGTGAGGGACTGGAATGGATTTCCCAGAGAAGCTGTGGCTGCCCCACCCCTGGAAATGCCCAAGGCCATCTTTGGAGCACCCTGGGATCGTGGAAAGTGCGTGGCTGGAACAGGATGAGCTTCACATTCCCTTCCCACCCTCCCCATTCTGGATTCTCAGGGATCACCCACATTCCCATTTCTCCTGAAGTTTGTCACCCCCAGGACAGCCCACCCAGCCTCCCCTGGTCCCAGCTCACACCAGGGTTACCTTGTGCTGGCACCTGGGACGTTTGGGAGCCGTACAGGGACAGGATGGAGTCTTTGGAGAGCTGCTTCTTCCCCACCTCCTCCCCTTTGCCTCCGGGCTCCGGGAACAGATTCAGATTTTCGGGAACGGAGCCGGCGCTTCCAGAGGTTGGCATGGAACCAACAACCTGGGAGAGACAGACAGACAGGATCAGGGCAAAACCCAGCATGGGGCAAAGGGGAATACCCATCCACACACAGGGACGTGCTGGAGTCATGGAAGGGGGACATTCCTCATGCTTCAACGTGGAGGAGGGAGATTTCATTTTAGATTAAGAGGGAGATTTCGGGATTTAATTGAGAAATTTGGGTGAAGCAAGGTTTAGGGCAGGCAGTTGTGTGTGGTGAAACAGTGGCACAGCATTGCCAGATGTGGGAATGGAAGAGGGACATTCCTCATTCTTCAACGTGGAAAACAGAGATTGCAGAATTTAATTAAGAAATTTGCATGAAGCAAGGTTTAGGGCAGACAATTGATGTGTGTGGCAAAACAGTGGCACAGCTTTGCCAGATGTGGGAATAGAAGAGGGACATTCTTCAACGTGGAAAAGGGAGATTGCAGGATTTAATTAAGGGAAATTTAGATGAAGTAAGGTTTAGGGGAATGGAAGAGGGAGATGTGGGAATGGAAGAGGGAGATTTCAGGATTTAATTAAGGGACATTGAGATGAAGGAACATTCAGGGCAGACAGTTGATGTGTGTGGTGAAAACAGTGGCACAGCTGTGGGAGTGGAAGAGGGACATTCCTCATTCTTCAATATGGAAGAGGGAGATTTCAGGATTTAATTAAGGGACATTGAGATGAAGGAACATTCAGGGCAGACAGTGATGAAACACTGCATTCCCAGCTGGATTCCCCATCCCTGGAAGTGTCCAAGACCAGCCTGGAGCACCCTGGCACAGTGCAAGACATCCCTGCCCTTTAATGTCCCTTCCATCCCAAATGACCCCGTGGTTCCATGACCCAACCAGGCTTTTCCAAGCCCCAGCACTCCCGGCTCACCTTCCTGGAGGAGTCTGAGCTGGATCCCACGGATGCAAAGAGGTCCAGGTCCTTCTCCAGGCTGCAGGGCCGGCCGTTGGTGACGGGCGCTGTCACCGGGGCGTCTGCAGGGACACAGATGTCCTGGGTGTGCCCCTCTGTGCCACCCTCCCAGACACCTGATCCCCACCTTCCTCATCCCTCTGGAGCTGGGAAGGGCCTGGAGAAGGATTTGGGAAGTGCCCCTGGGTTCTGTTTGTCCCATGAAGCTCCAGGTGCTCCTGGAACACCACAGGGCTCCAGGAGAAAGGGAAACACATGGAAAACTCTTCCTAAGCTGAATATTCCTGCAGGATTCCTGGAATTGTTCACCTGACAGGGAAAATTGGGACTGGAATGCCTCAAATTCCCACAATTTCTACATAAAGCTCCAGCTGCCCCTGGAAAACCACAGGCTCCAGCAAAAAAAGGGAAACACATTGAAAACTCATCCCAAGCTGAATATTCCTGGATTCCTGGAATTGTTCACCTGACAGGGAAAATTGGGACTGGAATGCCTCAAATTCCCACAATTTCTACATAGCTGTAGAAATAATGTAGAAATTGTGGGAATTTGAGGAGCTCCAGATGCTCCTGGAACACCACAGGCTCCAGCAAAAAAGGGAAACACATGGAAAACTCTTCCCAAGCTGAATATTCCCGCAGGATTCCTGGAATTGTTCACCTGACAGGGAAAATTGGGACTGAAACTCCTCAAATTCCCACAGTTTCTACATAGCTGTAGAAATAATGTAGAAATTGTGGGAATTTGAGGAGCTCCAGATGCTCCTGGAACACCACAGGCTCAAGGAGAAAGGGAAACACATGGAAAACTCTTCCTAAACTGAATATTCCTGCAGGATTCCTGCAATTGTTCACCTGACATAGAAAATTTGGACTGAAACTCCTCAAATTCCCACAATTTCTACATAAAGCTCCAGCTGCCCCTGGAAAACCACAGGCTCCGGCAAAAAAAGGGAAACACATTGAAAACTCATCCCAAGCTGAATATTCCTGGATTCCTGGAATTGTTCACCTGACAGGGAAAATGAGCACTGGAACTCCTCAAATTCCCACATTTTCTGCAGCAATTTCTCTTACCCAGGCCCAGCAAGTCCATGACTGGCTCAGATTTGGGGGAACTTTTCCTGGATTGCTGCGTTTCGTCCTTCTTTTGAGGCTGGGGGAAAAGAAACAACACAAACCTTGGGCAGCCTTTGGGATCACTCTGAAACGGTTTTACAAGATTTACAATGGTTTTTAACAAGATTAACCCTTAAAATCCCCTTTTTTTTTTTCCCCAGTGGATTTAAGCAAAAAAAATAAATTAAAATTCTCTTTGCTCTCCCCGAAATGAGAATTTCAGAGCGAATATTTTCCCAGTTGTTGTCCCAATAGGTTGTCAAATCCAAGCAGGCTCTAAAGCAGGGAGAAGCAGCTGCTGGAGCTGGAAAAACCAGCAGGGAAGAGCTGGATTCCAACCTGCACATCTGCTCAGTGTCCGGGGAGCAGAGCAAAACAAACTCCCAGCGGTGACTCAAAGCACCCAGGCTGTGACTGAGGCCAGAAAAATGCTCCAGAGGAGGCTGGAATCCCTCTGCTCTGCCTCAGGGGTGTCTCTGTGGTTTTTCTTCCTTTTCTTACCATTTTCACCTTCTCAAAAATGATGGGTTCCAGTTTTCTTTCCGACTCGTTGGTCCTTTTCCATTTGTCGTCCTTTTCTTTCTGTGAGGGAAAATATGGCAGACATGAGGGAAAAAATTCATGATTGCACCAAGAAAAAGCTCTCACCCGGTGCTGTTACTGATCTAAAACTCCCCAGATCTGAAATCCCTCAGAAAAAGCTGAATTTGAGGTAAATTTTTGCATTTTTCCTGCTCTGAGGAAGGAATTGGATAAAATCCTCTCCAAGACCTCCTCCAATGTGAGACATCCATCCACACAAACCAACCAGTGAGATGAAGAGGAGGGAAGAAAAGAGGAATTTAAACCACCCAAAAAACTCCAACCCCCTGATCTCTGCCTTGTCTGTGATCCTGATTTTTTACCTGGATAACCTGGAATATTCCCTACAACAAAACCCACTCAAAATCTTCAAATCTCCTCAGGAATTCACTCCATGGAGTTCAAGCAGCTCTGGAGAAGGGATTTCTCCTGACACAGGGAATATTTCAATACATATATTTCAATATTTCGTTTTAATCACAATTTTAGGCCTCCAGACTCACCCTGAAGGCGTTGATGTCGATGCTTCTGTCCATGTATTTCTTCTTTTCATATTTATCCCGGATAAAACTCTCCACAGCTCTACAGCAGCTGGTTAAGGACAAAGGATTCCAGAATAGCAGCCTTATTTGACAGGGAGGAACAAGGTACAGGCTGTAACTAAATTAAATCATTGTTTAAAGAGCATTTCCAGCAGTAACTTTCTTAAAATAATTTACTGCTGGATCCCAACTTGCTTTTTGCCCCTGGGTTATTTCAGGTTATTTCAGTGCTATAAAAAGGGAATTAAATCAGGATTTAAGCTCTTGCTGTGTTTTCTCCACTGTTTTTTGTTTTGTTTTGTTTGCCCCAAGCATCCCCTCAGCACATTCAGATCACAGTGGTCACAACAGGATCCTGCACCTCAAAAAACACCTCAGGTACCAGATGAACTCAAAAAAATGATGGTGGAAAGGTGTTTTTGTGGGTTTTGTTTTTTTTTAGGTTCACATCATTCTATCCCTGCTTGCTCAGCATTCCTGCAAGGTGGGAGTTACAGCTGAAGCACTGAAAATTCCATCAGAGAATTCCCAGCCTGGTTTGGGTTGGAAGGGACCTTAAATCCCATGGGCAGGGGCACCTTCCACTATCCCAAGCTCCATCCAGCCTGGGGAACACTTTCAGGGATGGGGCAGACACAATTTTATATTTTTTTGGGGGGAAATCCATTCCAGCCTCTCCTCAGCCTCACAGGGAGGAATTCCTTCCCAAAATCCCACTTCTACCAAAATCCGCCCCCTCCATCCTGTCCTTTGTAAATCATCTTTCTCCATCTCTCTTGCAGCTCCTTCAGGTCCTGGAAGGCCACAGTTGGGTCTCCATGGAGCCTTTGGAATATTCAGCACTTTGGAAAAAACCCAACCCTCCCATTCCCTCCAAAACCTTCAGCTTTTGGGTTCACTCTGAAATGTCAGAGATCTGAACGAGATAAATCCCACTGGAAAAAAGGGATTTTAAGGGTTATTTTCCATTCCAGTGCATTTTTTTCCCCTTTAAGCTAAAAATAAAATCAAAATTCTCTTTGCTCTTCCAAAATGAGACTTTCAGAGTGAATATTTCCCAGTTTTTTATTGTCCCAATCCAAGCAGGCTCTAAACCAGGGAGAAACCTCCTGTGGTCACTTTGGTGCCCCAGTTCTCCACCCCAACCCCTTCATTCCCATTCCCTGCCCAAGGGAACAACCTCTCCTTCAGGGAGGTTTAACCACACAGCTCCAGGATGGAAATCTCCATGGAATTTTCCATGTTTTCCCAGGAAATGAAAAGGATGCTGGTCTGTCTGGGGCCTCCGGAAGTTCTCGGGCAGGTAGGCTTCGTAGAGACGATTGGCTTTGCCATTCCCCATCTCCTGCACGCACTGAAATCCAAAAAAAAAACTCCTGCAAATTCTCCTTTCCCAAACATTAAAGCTCTCCCACAGCACCCCAGGCTGCCAGGGAAGAGAAATCCAGGGAAGGGGGATCCTCCTGAAAGCCACTTTTCATCCACCAGGGGATGCTGAGGCAGCTGCTCCAATCCCCTCCCGCCCCATTTGCCAATTCTAAGCAATTTTTAACCCAAGGCAGGATAAATATCCTGTTAGCAACCCCAAATCCCTCTGGAAGGAGAGGTGGGAAGCAGAAATTGGTAATTTAACAGAGATTTGCAGCTCCTTAAGCTTTACTCTCTGCTGTTTGTCCAGCTTGGAATGAGGACATTTTATTGCTCTTTTCCCTCCCAGTCCATCCCAGCTGGAATTCTTCTTCCTCCTCCACTTCCCCCATATTTTTTTTGGGCTATCCTGGCTTGGTTTATTAAAAAAAAAACCCCTCAGTGTGTTACCCCAGCCCTCACCTGGATCTGTTCCTGTGTCCACTGGTCGAGGTTGACAGATTTGACCCTGGATATGTGAACTCCCAGGTTCCTGTGGATCCCAGCACAGCGGATGCAGATGAACACCCCAAGATTCCAGGATGCCCATCGTGGCCCTGGGAAGAGAACAAGAAAGTGTTTTCCACCAATCCAACCCTTTTTTAATTTTTGTTTTTGCCTGGAGGAACTGGGAAACTGCACCGAGTGAACTGGGATTGAGGCCTTTGGGTTCTCATCCAGGCTGGAAACTGGAATTCCACCATCAGGAGGATGTTCCCAATCTTTATCCTTGGGGATTTATTGCCTCCCTCTTCCATCCACACAAATCAAACTGCTCCAAGAGGGGAAAAAAATCAAGAATTTACAGTTTTGTTGACCTTTTTTTTCTGTGAGGGAAAAATCATTGACATGAGGGAAGAAATTCCTGATTTCACCAAGAAAAAGCTCTCACCTGGTGCTGTTACTGATCTAAATCCCCTCAGGTCTAAAATCCCTCCAAAACAGCTGAATTTGAGGTAAATTCTTGCATTTTTCCTGCTCTGAGCAAGGAATTGGATAAAACCCTTCCAAGATCTCCTCCAATCATTGTCCCTGGAGATTTACTGCCTCCCTCTTCCATCCACACAAATCAAACAACTCCAGGAGGGAAAAAAATCAGGAATTGAAACAGTTTTGTCCTTTTCTTTCTGTGAGGGGGAAAAAAATCACTGACATGAGGGAAAAAGTTCCTGATTTCACCAAAAAAAACCCCTCACACATGTGCAGTTACTGATCTAAAACCCCTCAGAACTAAAATCCCTCCAAAACAGCTGAATTTGAGGTAAAATTTGCATTTTTCCTGCTCTGAGGAAGGAATTGGATAAAACCCTCCCAAGATCTCCTCCAATCATTATCCCTGATTTATTGCCTTCCTCTTCCATCCACACAAGAAGAGGGAAGAAAACAGGAATTTAAAGCCCCCAAAAAACTCTAACCCCCCTGAGCTCTGTCTGTGATTATGCTTTTTTTCCTGAATAACCTGGAATCAGCTCCAGAATATTCCCTACAGCAAAAAAAAAACCCCACTCAGCATCTTCAAATCTCCTCAGTGCTGGGCAGGAATTCCCAGCTGAGCCAGGACCAAGCACCAAGCCCAGGATTTGGCCCCAAAATCAATCCCAGCCCAAGGAATGATCAGTTCACTCCAGTTTCCACAGCTCTGATGGACATGATTTGCTTTTCCTGGGTCAAAATAAAATAAAGGCATTGATTAATAAGGTCAGACATTCCTGGTTTTCATGCAGGACAGCTCCAAGCTGTGGATGGGAGATCATGCCAGGGATCAAAAACCAAAAAAACATCCAGAAGGGAAAGATAAAGGAGCTCAGATGCACCCAGGAATCCCAGCAGGGCATACAGAGATCCACAGGAGTTCCCACCCCTCTCCCAGACCCTCAATCCTGAATATTTTAGGAATTTTTAAAAATTAAATCCTTTTCTCCCAGCAGGGAAAGATTAAGGAGCTCAGACGGACTCAGTGCACCCAGGAATCCCAGCAGGGCACACAGAGATCCACAGGAGTTCCCACCCCTCTCCCAGACCCTCAATCCTGCTGAATATTTTAGGAATATTTTAAAATTAAACCCTTTTCTCCCAGCAGGGAAAGATAAAGGAGCTCAGATGCACCCAGGAATCCCAGCAGGGCATACAGAGATCCACAGGAGTTCCCACCCCTCTCCCAGACCCTCAATCCTGAATATCTTAGGAATTTTTAAAAATTAAACCCTTTTCTCCCAGCAGGGAAAGATAAAGGAGCTCAGATGCACCCAGGAATCCCAGTAGGGCACACAGAGATCCACAGGAGTTCCCACCCCTCTCCCAGACCCTCAATCCTGAAAATCTTAGGAATTTTTAAAAATTAAACCTTTTTCTCCCAGCTCCCAACACAAACTGGTGTCCCAGTGCACGAGAAACTGGGAAAACACAGAATTAGGGATCAAACATCCCTTCACCAGCCTTTTTTTTTCCAGACATTCTTCTGGATGATGAAGAGTTATCCTGCTTTTCTTGCCACAGCTAAAATAGCAGAGCCTCGAGTTAATGAGAGGGAGGTGGGAGGGGGAAGAGAGGGGGAAAGTGTAATTTCAAAGCCCTAAAAAAGCAGTGCTGTATTTGAGATGCTGTTAACAGTTTAATTCCTGCTCCTGGGGAAAGCCTGGAGCATCCTGAGGGATTTGGACCTGATAATGCACTCAGAGACCCTTCCAGAGCACAGGTATCCAACCTCCAACAGGTAACTCCAGCACCTCTTCCAGGGAATTCACTTTAAAAATGCCTTTATTAAATTTTCTGGCCTTTCCTGCCATTATTTGCTGTTTTTTCCCTCTCCAGGGAATGATATCAATTTAATGGAGCTGAGAAATTCACTTCCCAGACACTCTTGCCTACACCTCAGTCCCTTTATTACCTCCTTTATTATCAAAGCAAAACCCACAGCTTCAGCACCACCTGAACATGCCCAAAAAACTGGGAATAAAAACCTTTAGCCAGGATCCTTCCTGTGATTTCTGGATGGAATTCTCTCCCAGATTCCACCCCCAGGGCTCTAACGTGAGACTGCTGGCAGGATTATCATGAGATTCAAGGTTAGATTTAAAACTCCAGATAAATTTAGCCTTGATAGGACTAAAAGGATTAATGGGCAGCTCCTGGAGTAATCAGCTCACTGGGTTTGTCACATGGACCAGCTCAGGCCACCACAACCTCCCACTAAAACATGACTCAGGGTTAATGTCACATCCTCCTGCTGCTCCAGTGTCCCCTCAGGGTCTGGGACAACAAGGGAACCACGTCTGGAATGTGCTGCAATTCCTGAATCCAAATTCTGGGAGAGCCAGGATGGAGCAGCTTGGTTATATTTAAATTAAAAATGAGTATTTAGGGGGTTTTTGCACCCCTCCCAGCAATAAACTCATGATACAACCAGGGGGGAGCTGTTCCCTGGGGAGATTCCAGCTGGGATTTGGGTGTCCCTGCACAGCCAGGAGGAGCTGCAGGAAAGGTCTCAAACCTGCAGGGAATAGAGGATCTGGGAGATGTGGGGTTGGTTTTCACAGATTGTGACCCCAGCAGCTCAGGGCTCTGCTGTGTGACAGGAAGGGACTTCAGAGCCACGCAGGGAGGAAATCTGAATTTCCCAAAATGCTCCCTAATCCTGCAGCCACAGCAAACCCTGCTGGGGTCGGGCTGGATCCAACATCCCCTTCCCAGACACCCAGCTTAACTAAACCAACACTTTAACCTTCAAATGCCTCCGAAAAATGTTCTTTTAAAATGCCTCATAGAGCCCTGAGGTTGTGGGAGGGGGGAAGGGTTTGGTGCAGATGTAAACAACCTCCCACTTCCCTCTTTGGAGCAGCTCACACTGGAACATCTCCCACTAAAAATCTCCCTGCAAGTGCCCAGCGGCTCAGATTCGGCTTTTTAGGGCTTTTTGCAGGCATTTCCCCAGGGTTTCACAGCTCTTTTCAAGGTGACTCGACTCGAAAAAGCTCCAGGTGGCATCTCCAGATGTGACTTTTTCAGCCCGTGCTGCTGCTTTGCACTTCCCCAAAACTCAGCCCCAGCTCAGACTCTGCAGCAGCTTCAGTGATAAAAAGGGGGGAAAACGCCTGGGTTGGAGTTTAGGGGAACATTTTTTTCTGAGAAAAATGGGGTGATATCAATAAATAACAACGGGGCAGCTTTAATCAGCGCTGCAGAGCTGCCTGGGGGAATTATCACCCCTCACAAAAAGTGGGCACACCCTGACACCCACCTCCAATTGAGGACAGGGGCGCCTCACTCTCCTGGCTCAGCGAATTATGGATTTATTTATCTCCCAGAGGGTTGAGGACAAGGCCAACAGAAACATTCAGCTCCTTAAACCACTAAAAAAAAATTGTTTCTTGCATGAATCCTCGGGTTGATGTTCTAAAATCAATTCCCCTGAGGCTGAGGGCCCTCAGAGGCACCAGGCCAAAATGGAAACCCCATTCCCACATGGAAAATTGGGAGTTTGCTCCAGTGCCAGCTTTGCCTGGTGCTGCCACCGCTTCTGTCTCAGCTTTATGATGATTTTATGTCTGATTTTATGATGCTAGGGGTGATTTTAACAGCCATGGAAAGCAAAGTCACCTGCTCTGAGGAAGTTTGTGGAGCTTCACCTCAGGCCTGCACAAATCCCTCCTGGATTGAAGGAAAAACCAATGTGGAGTGAGAATCCCAACATTTTCCAGAGCCTGGCTGCCCACTGAGCAGATTTGGGTTAGCTCAGACCACCTTGGGATGCACTCCCAGCCTGGCAGGAGGATCACAAACCCCAGAGCATCCCTTGCTCAGTGAATTTTCATTCCCAGTTTTCCTGAACATTCCCAAGGGAGGAGGATCCAGCAGGGATTCAGTGCCCAGCCCCTGCTCCAGGGAGTTTGCTCCAGTGACCACCAGTGCCAGCCTTGCCTGGTGCTGCCACCGCTTCTGTCTCAGCTTTATGATGATTTTATGTCTGATTTTATGATGCTAGGGGTGATTTTAACAGCCATAGAAAGCAAAGTCACCTGGCACCAACCCTGCTCTGAGGAAGTTTGTGGAGCTTCACCTCAGGCCTGCACAAATCCCTCCTGGATTGAAGGAAAAACCAATTTGGAGTGAGAATCCCAACATTTTCAGAGCCTGGCTGCCCACTGAGCTCTGGCACAAGATTTGGGTTAGCTCAGACTCCAAGCTTGGCAGGGGCTGCAGGAGGATCACAAACCCCAGAGCATCCCTTGCTCAGTGAATTTTCATTCCCAGTTTTCCTGAACATTCCCAAGGGAGGAGGATCCAGCAGGGATTCAGTGCCCAGCTCCAGGAGACAATTCCAGAGCCTGTTTTACATCCCAGCCTCTCAAAACAAACTCCACATACCAAGCTGCTCGTGCCAGCTCCAGTCCCCATCTAATGCTGCTCATTAATGCTCCAAGGGCTGCTGAATAATCTGAATGACTGAAAAGGATCCTAATTCCCTTTAAAACCCCCAGCCTAATTCCCTTTTCAACTCCCAGCCTGAGGAGCCTGCTCCAAATGAGTCACTTGCTCCAAGTTCACACCCTGGAGGGGC